GCGTGCCTTCCCCCAGGGCTCCTCCCCCATCCCCACAAGAGGAGGGAAGCTCTGGCACATGCCTCCTCTGGGGACTCCTAACCCTTCTCCTTCCCCACCCCAAGAAGGAAGCCCCAGCGTGCACCTCCCACCAGGACTCCTTCCCCCTCCCACACAGAGGATGGAAGCCCCAGCACGCGTCTTTCCCTGGGACTCCTACCTCCTCCCCCCCCAAAGCAAGTCCCCCGTGCACCACAGACCTGGAGGAGGAGAGCAGGCAGTGCACTTCAGGAAATCCTGGAAGTGGTGCACAGCTGCCAGACTTCCGTCCACCCCGCGGGAAGCCAACACTACCTCCATTGTCGCTGGAGGTAGGTAGTGGGGCTTCTTGGGTGTGGAAGGAATTTGGGAGAGGCCCCGAATGCCTCATGATCGACTGGTCGAGCCCTCCCGATCGACCAGTCAATTGCGATCGATGGGTCGGTGACCACGGGTTTACACTATCTGAGGATCTAGTAACTATGGAGAACAATTGATCCTCTTTATAACAGTCCTTTACATATTTGAAGGCTATTATCAAATCCCAGCTCAGTCCTCTTTTCTCAAGACTAAATATGTCCAGATTTTAAACCTTTCCTCCTAGGTCATACATTGTTGATCATTATTATTGTCCTCTCAACTCTCTAATTTGTCCACATCTTTCTTAAAGTGTGGCACTCTGGACTGGACACTGTATAAGTGCTGAGGCCACACCAATGGCAAGTAGAGCAGGATGATTAAAGCCTCTGACTTACATAGGATACACCTGCTTCTATCCCCCAGAATATTAGCCTTTTTTGCAAAGACATCATATTTTTGGCTCATATTCAATTTGAGATTCACCATAAACCCTAGATAATTTTCAGTAGTACTATCACCTATAGCCATTTAAGACCCATTTTGCAGCTGTGCATTTGATTTTTCCTCCCTAAAGGGAGTAATTTGTGCTTGTTTCTATTGAATTTCATCTTGATAATTTCAGACCAATTTGCTGATCTGTCAGGTGGTTCTGAGTTCTAATTCTGACCCCCAAAATGCTTATAGTACCTCCCATCTTTTCATCTGAAAATGTTATAAGCAGACTCTCCCCTTTATTACCCAAGACATTAATGAAAATACAAAATTTGTATCTGAGCAGTATCTCTGTCAAAAAGGGAAATTAGGTTGGTTTGCCATGATTTTTTTCTTGACAAATTCATGTTGGCTATTCTACGAATTTCTATTCCTTTATGGATCCTGATTGTTTAATAATTTGTTCCAGTATGTTACCAGTTATCAAGCTCTATAATTCCCAGATACTCTGTTCTTCTTTTTAAAAGAATATAGTATATTTGACTTTCTCCAGTTCTCTGGGACCTTACTAACTTACATTAGTTCTCACAGATAATCACTAATGATTCCAAGATTCCTCCAGCTAGTTCTTTAAGAATGCTAGGGTGAATTTCACCAGACCCTGCCAACTTGAATACATCAAAATATTCATTCACTTATTCTTTCCCAATTTTAGCTTGTGTTCCTTTCAACTTGTTGTAAATATAATACTTAGTTCTTAAACAGAACTTTTCATATTTGACTCCTGTATCAGTGGAATTGAACTGTCCACTCCTGTACTGTATTTAGATAATGTAAATGATGGTATAAAAAAGGAATAAGTGTTTTCCAGTGGTGAAAGCAGCAGTCTGAAATGAACAGCTCTGGAGTCTATTCCTGATTCTACCACACATTTGGAGAGCAAATTTGGGCAAGCTATTTAAATCTTAAAAGGTGCTGTGCTTCAATCAGTAATATATTTTTAGTGGTTTCATTAATTAGGCTTAGAATTCCTTCTCTCCAAACTGATTTACAATTTGCTAACATACAGTGTCACTAGAAGGTCAAATAAAAGATTTGTCTCAAAGGGTATGTCTAGACTACATGGCTCTGTCGACGGAGCCATGTAAACTAGTTTACTCGACATAGACAATGAAGCGGGGATTTAAATAAGTCCTGGTTCATTAAAATAAACATGGCCGCCGCGCTGTGCAGACGATCAGCTGATCCGACACAGCACGGCAGTCTAGACGTCGATCTGTCAGCTGGGGAAGCCTGTGCCGACCGATCCCTTATGCCTTATGAAACGAGGTTCACAGGATCGGTCGGCAAAGGCTTCCCCAGCTGACAGATCTGCGTCTAGACTGCCATGCTGTGCTGGATCAGCTGATTGTCTGCACAGCGCGGCGGCCATGTTAATTTTAACGAAGAGAGGATTATTTAAATCCCCACTTCATTGACTATGTCAGGTAAACTAGTTTACATGGCTCCGTCGACAGAGCCACGTAATCTAGACATATCCAAAGAACTTAAAATTTAAGAGACAGATAAGAGGTAAACAGTCACAAATGTCATCTTTACCACTGAAATCCCTATCAAACTTAAACAAGATTTCTATGCTGATCTTTTTCACCCATGAAGAAAATTATTGTTCTATTGCCTCTTTCCCCCACCAGAGCCTCTCTCTCTCTCTCTCATACACACAAACACACATCCCTTCCTTGCTTCTACTGTGAGAAACTATTTGTTAGATACATTTTGTCAAACAAAATGTATTATCAGTTATTCCAATTTCAGTTACACAGATAACAGTAGGATGCTGAGGTGTCCTAGTTATCTGGTTTAGCAGGTCAGTCCTTTCCAAATTTATTGAATTCTAGATGTGTTATTAGAGCAAAGGAATTGGAAAGCCAGCACCTAAGAGGAATGTCAGCCCTGGAACTGGACCCAGAAAAGCCTAGGTCCCCAAATTTCCTTTAGAGTCCACAGAACTACCCAAAATCTTCAAGAATTTTGCCAGAATCTTTCTAAGATCTCCACAGTCGATACTTATACCCTTGTCACTTTAAACACACACCCACACCTCTACCAAATTCTAGATCTGGAACAATCTCCAAAGTCCCTGCAACCCATCCACCTAGCTGTCAAAACCTCAAACAAGCGCCAGTTTATATGCCTATATTTTATAAATTATCCTGTTTTATTACATGACAAAAATCTAATCCTAGAAATCTGGGATTGTTTAATCAATTTTGGTTTGACTCAATGCCAAGGTGTGGGTTCGTTTTGGTGAAAAAGAGATCCTTGGTGAGTCTTTGGAGAGTATTTACAGCAGTATTTATCATCTGTTTTATTCAGATAATGTCCATATACAGTGGGAGGAAGGGGAGAGTGCATTTACCTGGCCTTACAATCAAGTATTTATTTTCTGAAGTTTTCTCAACTCCATTTTGTTTTCCTGAGCATTGATAGCACCCTTTAAATGATCTCTGTACATTTTTAATAATTATTCCTTTTTGGGGATTGGAAATAAATGTCAAATTTTCGGGGAATGGTTTGCCACCACATAATTTCAAGGTGAAATCTGAAACATCCGGATCTGTCACTGGACATGCCACAAGAATATCACTGTCTTCTTTGACATAGAAGAAAGACTCAGATTCAGCAAGGAAAAGCTTATGTTGATCTGTAAAGAAGACAAACATGTGAAAAATCAGGAATTACACAAGTTAATGTTCCAAAAAATAAATTCTCTGCCACACTGCACAGAGTACATTAAATTATACATTTTATTAACATTCTGATTTCTGTGTTAATTTAAGTTTACTATATTACCATTGCTAATAGAATTTTAGAAACTTCTATATTTTCTGACTGTGCACTATGCGGAGGTATAGAATTTTAAGATTCAGCCACTTTTGAGAATTTTGTGCAGGAAAAAATCATATTTTTTCTTTTACATTTAAAGAGAAGAAAATATTATTTCCTTCTTGTCTAGCTCAAAAAAAATGCCACAATAGATTTTGCTCAGACTATTAGAAAAACCCACCTGAGCTGAGACCAGGTCTATTCAATTTCATGACCAGAAGGAGAACTTCTGAGAAATTTATGATAAAGTGAAAGTTGAGCTAATTAATTTTCGATTCTAAAAAAAACCAATCTAAATGAACAAATACCAAAGTTAAAACTTTTCTTGTTTTCAAAATATTGAAGGGTTTACATAATCATCACATTACATAACATTGAAAAAATATGATGCAGTTATTTGGCTTCACTGCTTACAATTTTTCATGTTGAAATGCTATACAGCTATATCTGATCTTTGAAGCATTTTCTTAACCAAAGTTGAAGTCCACGCGATCTGCTAATTTCAAAATACTATATTTTTTCAACAATATTAAACCCCCCAAATTAAGAGATTTCACAATGAATGTCAAATTTTATTTATGCCTCCATTTCTATACCATTGCCCAAGGATACAGTTACACTGAAGGAGTAGAATATTAACAAAGTTTTTTTAGTCCTTTTATTCAAGTTGGTCTTCATGTAACTTTTATATCCATTATCCTGAAATTAGTAAAGGGATATAAGAACCAAAATGAGAAAATACACCCACAATGAGGATGGGAAAACAAGAGTATAGCATATTGTTTAACCAAAACAAGAATGAATTGTACATTTTAAGCTTGTTTTACTTGTACTATATAGAATATATGTAGCCCAGAGAACTTTGAAGTCAGAGATGGAGGACAAAACATCTAATCTGTGTCAGGATAAAGTGATATTGAGTTCACAATCCTAGCTGCAATATGATGACATAGCATTAACTATGTTTCCTTACAAGTGGTAGAAATCTGGCCCCCACAAAAAATGCAAAAGCAGCTCAGGCCAACCCTTACTGCAGGCTTATTGTCTTTCACAAAGAGTTAAATGGCTTCCAAATAGGATGGAATCTTACACATAAACATTGAATCCCTACCAAGCCAAAAGAAAATCTGAATGAATTTGTGAATATTCCATGCTGGCAATAGTTTAAGATGCCAGTTTTCCTCCTAATCAACTTCCTCCTTCATGGGTTCAGGTGCAAGAGAGTTTCCAAGGAAAAAGAGGTCCGTGTGATAAGCTGGTTCACAGATAGCTGAAATAGGGTGGAGATGAGCTGAAATTACCAAGGGTTGATCCTGTATAATCTTCCTAGATCATTTTGGAAAGGAGGAGGGCAAGATGGGATGGTCTAAATCAATTGGTCTAAGGGAATGAAGACACCTGGAATGGTTACACATATACTCCCCTGCTTCACTCCACCAACAACTTGGGGCAGTACTTCTGCTTCTCTGAAACAAATAAGTTACTTATGAGCATACCCACACAATTTTCCTTTTATATAAAAGCATTTCAGATGATTTTCCTCCATTTTAGTTATGGATAATAATTGCCTCCATCCAAACAATGAGGTGCAAGCTCCCTCACAATATATGTTTAAATAGGTTTTCTTTGTCTTCAAAGATGGCATGATTTCTGATCAAGGAATTAAAAATGTGCGTCATGAATGACCCAAACCTGAAAGACTGATGAATAGTCTATATTACTCTCTGCCTTTGAAGGCTGGCATCACAGCTATAGAAATCCTGAGGGTGTAATTCTGATGTCAATATCCACCATTGTAGCACACAAAGAACATTTTTGGCAAGATTACCACATTATTCAAGTTCTCCTGGGCATCCTAGCTGTGTAAAAGGAAAGCCTGATTGTATTTTATTTAGAGTTGAATGCTCAATACTGTCCTTATGTCTTCATAAGACATCATTAAGCCCAGGATTTAAAGGACATGCCACACGATGCTGCAGGAACAAGGCACAGCTTGAAAAAATACTTGCTTTACCTGCAGAAGACTGACAATAGGGACTATTTGTCCCACATTAGTTAGGAATTTGACAAAGTGGTTAACCAAGTCTTGAGTGAGGATCAGAAAGCCAAAACATGTTCACTTGATAGCTAACACTGGTCCACTATCTTCCACTCGGAGATGAAGAATAGAACGCCATTAGGTGATTTTTCCAAAGAAAAATATGAATGCCTTCCTCTTCAAAGTTGGCTATGATAGTTACCGTGGTTTAAGAACATTTGTGTGACAGATAAAGCCCCAAGGTGCCTGTCAAATATATAATGGCATTTCTGACTTAATTTGTCATGGTCCCTGAGAAACAAAAGTATGGCTTGCTCTAAGGAAGAAACAAGAGAAATGTCCCTAATACCAGAGAACATCTAAAAGGCCTCCAAGGATTTTAGGTTACTGGATGAAGAAGATGGTAGAGATAAAGCTGGTCGTGAACTGGAGAGATAGCAAAGTCCAGCATTATCACTAAATTCTTAGTCTCAGGCAGCTGATATGGGGGATGAAGGCAGATTATGAATCGGAGGTATGGGGGATGAAGAATAGATTTGTGCATACACAGGTCATAAGTTCTAAAGGAACCCAACACAGTAAGTTCTCAATGAAAGTCTACATGCATTTCACGGGAATGAGGGTTCCAGAGTTTTAGGTTAGTTTTTTGGTCAGGTCACCTGGACGATTAGACCTCTCGTCGTGACATTTTGAAAAAGAGAAAGAAAATTGTCCATGAAAGAATTATGGTTGTTTTGAGAAAGTGGTAGCTTTCATTTCTTCAGAATCGCCACAGGGCCATATGCAACATTCTCAAAGGTCATCTCTCTGGAGAAAATCCCCTGTTAATGGCTCCTCTAATCAGCAGGACCCTAAGCAACTTCCCTCACCTCTTCCAGTGACTGCTGGCTGGAGGTGGAAAATGAAAAACACTAGTTGCAACAGGAAAAGCCAGGCAAAAAATCCTTACCAACAAGAAAAAAGGGCAACCTGAGCTACATGGGTACAGGCAAGCAAATGGGTTATCCTGAAAATCAGCTGAGCCCAGCCCACATGAGGTACATAATTAGGCAAGACAGGGCTGACTGAAAGCCAATGAAGCCATGTGTCAGAATGCAATAGGTCACAGAAGGGAGGTGAACCAGAGGAAAAGACAGAAGTAATAAAGGGCATCATAAGTATCATAAGACAGGTACCCATTACTGAAAGGTGTACATATTACAAAGGCAATTTCTCTTCTCTGCATATTCACATCTTCACACCAAATGCAGTGAATGGCCCACTTCTACCCTGTCTTGATCAGGTTCATTAGCAAAAGCAACTTCGTCCTTACATATACTCCTGCTTTTGTAACTTCAATTCCAATTCATCTGATGATGTGGATTTTACCCACAAGAAGCTTATGTTGTAATAAATCTGTTAGTCTCATAAAGCGCCACAGGACTCCTAGAGGTACAAGAGTTAGTCAGAGCTGCCTGTACTAGAATGGAGGCTCCTTTCAAGGTTCTTTGTTATCCTCTGACTTATACAAAGGAGTGTTTAGGTACTACCATTTGTAGTAAATTTGGCTCGCTAAGCCAGAAGGTGGGGTCAAACTAGGAGATGTAAATAATAATTTTTAAAATTCTACACATAATAAAATTAAGGAAGAAATAAGCTTTTTGCTCTCTGCAGGGAACAAATCACTCAAATTATTTTAACTCATTTTTAAAATTCTATCTAAATTCTCCATCCAAAAGCTAAGTTTTTGTACATAACAATGAAAATGTATATAGAAATGTATATAGAAACCCTACCAAAACCTTTCCGTGACTACAATTACCCCAGTAAGTATCATCTAATTTAAAATTTTTCCTACTGGATTTATTGTGTTAAATTCATAAATACCTAATTTCTCCCTGTATGTGTTACACCATTTCTTATCCTCTGGCATTACTGACCATTCCTGAAATATGCTGTACTATTTAAAATATATTAAGTTCCTTCTAGGACTATTTCTATTATTATTGTTATTAATTTTGGCTCACATTTTTTCTTTACCTGAGCTTACCAGACAATCCAGTTATAAATAACTGTGATTCTTAATGTGCTAACACACTAGTCATTGATGTTAAGATCAGAAAGGACTACCTTCCTACTTCCTGAACTTGCTAGGTCACAGAAGCTCAGCCACTCACTCCTGTAGTAGATCCATAACCTCCTGTTGAGTTACTGCAGTCCTCAAATGATGATTTACAGACTGTAGTAATTCAGAGTCCTACCCATTTGCATCCCATCTTTGGCCATTGATTCCAAACGAATTTAGAATCCAATTTAAACAGCTTTACTATAGTTTTTGAATAGTCATATACAAAGGGAAACACCAATTACCTGACTCATAGACTCATAGACTTTAAGGCCAGAAGGGACCATTATGATCATCTAGTCTGACCCCCTGCACAGTGCAGGCCACAGAATCTCACCCCTCTTAGAATAATCCTCTCACCTATGTCTCAGATATTGAAGCCTTCAAATACTGACTCCAATTATATGCTTTGAAAGGGAAAAGGGGGAAAATACTCATAAAAATTTACCTTTAACGAAAACATATATAGAAGTGTTCAAACTCTCTTTGTTTTTGCATATGTATCTGCCTGTGTCTTTGGCTGATGCATTTTTTAAGTACCATTCTTTATTATTGAAATGTCTTGGTTTTGCCAAAGGTTCTGAATTCTGAAAATCCCAAGTCACTGGACCATCATCGTTGCAAATCAGTCTTACTTCTTGTCCACTATTCACAACTAAGGAAGATTTTCCTGGAGTAATGGAAGGTATTGTACCACCTGGCAGAAAAACAAAATACATTATACATTGTTGTATTGATTTTTCTTGTTTGAGCAAATGAAAATGTTTACTTGATCACATAAACATAATTTTAGATTTTGTTCCTTAAAAATATATTTTACAAGCATCTGTAGATGGCTCGTATGCTCAGAGCATAAAGGCACTTCAAATGGAAACTGGGCTAAATAACTAGTTTGGAAACTTGTTTAAGCTAACAGTTTCTATCATGGCATGGCTTGTCAATAGGGACAAAGCAAGCAATTTTAACACGAAACTCCATTTATAGACTTGATTCTACCATGACTTGATTTCAAGAGCCAACAGATGACTACTGATTATACTTTTAACTAAGTGTGTTGTCGAAATCTCAACTCTCTTTGCCCAATATTTATAATTATTTTAACTGTTTTGCAATAGGAACTCTACAACCATGTCTATTCTGTAAGTGGATTAATCCTGTGAATATGTTTGGCTCCAGTATAAAGTTTACAATAAATTGATGAAATACCAATTTACCAATACCAATACCAATTTATAACCTCTTACAGAAACCTACTATATATTTAAGGGTATGTCTACACTACCCCGCTAGTTCGAACTAGCGGGGTAGTGTAGACATACCCCTAGTCCTTTAAGATGCCACAGGACTCCTAATTGTTTTTGCAGATAACTAAGATGACTACCCCTCTGAGTGGAGGGGGGGGACGCCGCCATTTTTAAAACCCCGCTGGTTCGAACCCCGTGCAGCGCGGCTACACAGGGCACGAACTAGGAAGCCTAGTTCGAACTACCTAGTTCGTGCCCCGTGTAGCCGCGCTGCACGGGGTTCGAACCAGCGGGGTTTTAAAAATGGCGGCTCCCGGCTTATGCAAATGAAGCCCAGGAAATTCAAATCTCGGGCTTCATTTGCAAGTGCGGTATGCCTACATTACCCTCCTAGTTTGATACCCTAAGAGAGTTTGTCTGTGTGATTCTCTGGTTGTTCAAGAACTCCTCCTAAATGGTAAGAGCTAGGACTATCATAATTTAAAGCAACATAAGGGTTTGGTTGTGCCAGGAAAATGGGATGTGACTAGAATGGGATTGCTTCTCATAAAACTATACAGAAAAGAGTCGGAATCACCAAGCAGGTAAAAGGGGTTGCTGGGGACATGCTCCCCCATATCCAGGACTGCCTCTGCCCCAAGCCTCCCACCTTCTAGGTGCCCTTTAAGGAGGACAGGGAAAGGCTGAAGTCCTCCCCAGATTCATGCAGAGACATTGCTGGCTGTTCTCCTTAGTCAGGGAGCGAAGGGAAAGTCCACAGTTTGCTACATTCCTTACTCTGGCTGGGCAGTGCAGTGGGCAGATGAGCTGTGCACTTTGCTCTCACTTATTCCTTCTCCCTGATAGGGACAGGAAAGGGAAGAGCAAACAGCCCTGGTATGAGTCTTCCCTGCCCCTTCCCCCCAATTCCTGCCCCCCCCCACACACACACTCCTGCCCACAGCCTCTTTTCACCCCCAACCCTGACTCCTGCACCTCCTAGACCCAAGACTAAGGTTGCCAGATGGTTTAAACAAAAATACCGCACACACTTAACATTACATCACAATCTATATTACATCTTATTTAGAAAATACTAGACATTTCTATTTTCTCATTTTTATTTTCTGAATTTGTTTCCCATCAGAAAGCTCAAATACTGGACTGTCCGGATCAAAACCAGACACCTGACAATCCTACCCGAGACCCTTGCCCTGAGTCTCTCTTTAAGGACCTGGAGCAACACCAAGTAAATGTGCTAGCACTCAATATAATTCAAGTATTCCTAGAATGAAAGTCAGAACTCATTCAGACTTCAACAATTTAGTTTTCAGGCTGGATTTCTGAAGTGAGATCTCATAATGGGGATTAAAAGCTTTATTGCTTCTCATTTAGAAATAGAAACATTTCCCCAACGTTACTGGTAATAATTCATATGAAGTTCTTCAATTCATACGTACATAAGCAGCAAAATTTATATGAAGTATCCTAAAATATAATAACCGTGTCCAGCAAAGAGGTAGACAACATCAATGCATGTCAACACTTTCACATTTATGCTTTTAGCATATTTTACATCTGCTTTGACCTGCATGACTTCAAGTCAGGAGTTTAAAATTTACTATAATTACAGTAGGCCCCATCTTTCAAGCCATCTAGAACCTCCAACACACTGCCAAACACACTCAACTTCAGCTGCTGAAACACAGGACTTGTCCCAATGTTTACAGCAAAAACTGTCTGTCCAATGTAGCTATGTAAGTTTCACAGCTGGGGGTTGGGAAAGGAAAGGAGAAGTGGAAACAAACATACAACAGAATTTAGAAAGCAAAATCCATGACTTACAAACACTATAGGGAAAAGCTATATTTCAGGGCATTGTTACAAAAAACAAAGGATAATTATTTCTAAGAAACACAGAATGATAGGATTCTGCCTCAGATCGTTTACAGCCTAAATTAAATTCAAAGGACCTCAACAAATTAAAAGCATGTCTAGACTACCTGCTTTTCTCACAGTTATGTTACCTTTGGTCATTCCCCCCTTACCTTGCAAATACCCACATTGGGAGGAAAATGACATGTTATCAAAGCCATTGCTAACTCTTCCTCTGTTTGCTCCCGTGTGAGGGTCCTCCACCAGCCAAGCATATTGACCATGGAGGATTCCACGTAGGCCTGGTCTTGATTTGCTGGGAATGTGTTCTATAAATCCCCACCGACAAAAGCCATGCAAAGAAATCACACCAGTAAAAGAGGTGTCTGTTGGTGGATTCCCTCCAGACGCAGGCAGGAGAGCTGCAAAAGGAGGTGACTTGTCTTTGAATCCTCTAGAAGCATAATGATTTCATCAACAGGATGCACAGATGATGCTAGCCACTATGGCTGCGTCTAGACTGGCAAGTTTTTACGAGCTAATGTAAGATTGTCAGTGTTCTTGCAGAAGTGCTATGCTGCTCCTGTTCAGGCAAAAGCCCTCTTGCGCAAATGCTTTTGTGCAAGAGGGCCAGTGTAGACAACGCAGTATTGTTTTGCGCAAAAAAGCCCCGATCGCGAAAATGGCGATCGGGGCTTTCTTGTACAAAAGCATGTCTAGATTGGCACGGACGCTTTTCCACAAAAAGTGCTTTTGCAGAAAAGCGTCCATGCCAATCTAGACGCTCTTTTCCGCAAATGCTTTTAACGGAAAAACTTTTCCGTTAAAAGCATTTGCGGAAAATCATGCCAGTCTAGACATAGCCTATAGGTATAAGCGAGAAAGTTGTGACCCAACACCAGTTATGTTTGTATTAAATGAAGGGATAGTTAAAATCTGGTCACAAATGTTTATAATTTTGTAGGAATGCAGAAAAGCAGGACTGTGCTAAACTGTTGCAAAAGAAAGTTAGCAGAAAGAACCTTGCTAAACAGGGGCTTGACTTTCAGAGCTCTACAAGAGTAGAGGACCAGAAGCTCATTCTGGTCAAGAGGCTGCATACCCTCCTTTGCCTGGACCTTCCCTACCCCCCCACCATTCAAAGAACAGAGCTAGGTAGGAATCCTTAAGATTCTCTTTCTTGTGTTAACTGAGTTGGAGTTGTTTTTTTCTGTCCTGCTTGCTAAGAATTGAAATCACGGGGAGCTGAAATTACCTGAGACTCGGCCAAAGTGACACCCAAGAGTGGATGGTGACTGGCAGCCAGCAGGGCAGCGGTAAATCAATGGAACAAGCAGCCAGCAGGGCGGCAGAGGCAACATGACAAGTTGCAAGCAAGGTGGCTGGAGAGATGCAGTGAAGAGGTATGATGAGCAGCCAGCAGGGTGACAGCGGAGAGATGTGACAAGCAGCCAGTGGAGTGGCAGCAGAGAGCAGCAAACAGGCAGGTGGCGAGTGACCAGCAGAGTGAGAATGCCTCTTTACCTCCCCCAACCTAGGGTGAAAGGCAAACTCTAAGGATTCACCTCTGAACTCTGGATTTGCACTGACCAATGGAAGCAACCATGAGTGGGGTGCAGAGAAGGTTTGGGCATGTAAAGGGGACATTTGCATTGCTGGAATTAAGAACCAGAGAGGAAAAAGACACTGCCCAGCCTACTAGGGGTGGGACTTTTATTCATAGTTACTCATAGATAGTAAACTATCCTTTAAATCATCTTCTGTACCTAATGACTGGAAGATAGCTAATGTGATGCCAATATTTAAAAAGGGCTCTAGAGGTGATCCTGGCAATTACAGACCAGTAAGTCTAATGTCAGTACTGGGCAAATTAGTTGAAACTATAGTAAAGAATAAAATTGTCAGACACACAGATGAAGATAATTTGTTGGGGGAAAGTCAACATGGTTTCTGTAAAGGGAAATCATGCCTTACTAATCTACTAGAATTCTTTTAAGGGGGTCATCAAACATGTGGACAAGGGGAATCCAGTAGATATAGTGTACTTATATTTCCGGGAAGCCTTTGACAAGGTCCTTCACCAAAGTCTCTTAAGTAAAGTAAGTTGTCATGGGATAAGAGAAAAGGGCCTTTCATGGGTTGATAACTGGTTAAAAGACAGGAAACAAAGGGTAGGAATCAATGGTCAGTTTTCAGAAAGGAGAGCAGTAACGAGTCATGTTCCCCAAAGGTCCATACTGGGACCAAACCTATTCAACCTATTTGTATATGATCTGAAGAAAGAGACACTGGGCTCTTACTTTACTACATTTAAAATGCAGAGGCGCAGCAGTCAGCGCAAACAGGGACTGCTCAGTACCGGCTCGCGCCGGGTCCAGCAGCCCCTGTTCATGGCAGTCAGGGCTGGCTGTGAACAGGGGTTGGTTGTTAGCAACAGCTCCTGTCTGAGGGGGGTAGCTCTCCACTGGACCCCTGCAGACAGGGGCTGCTTCACAGCATTCCTTATCATAGAAGCAGCAAGGGGGAGGGCACTTCAGAGAGCTTGGGGCAAGCAGGAGAGGGAGAGGCACAGTGGGAAACGGTACGCACAAGGACTACTTCAGTCTCTGCTCGCCCTGTGCTCCCTGTGGCACTTCTGCTTTTGAAACATTTCAAAAA